CTAAAAGCTAGCTTAAGTACAATGGATAAAAACAAATAGAATAGAAATTAGATCTCCAGTTTATTATTTAGTATATTAGTGTATTTCAATAATGATAATTCTTGCATTAGAATTTTTATTAATAGTCTTTCATTTGATAAGAATGATTTTTTTTTCATCTTGCTTTTGACCATTTGGTGGATATAAACAAGACTTGAGCTGAACAACAACTTTATTCAAGCAGGAATTTCATATTTTGACACTAATTTTATAAGATGAATGCAAAATAAAAGAGCATTTAAAACTTTGTGTTAGAAGTAAATGTCTCATGTATATAATGCTAGAAACAATATGTTATTTTCACTTTGTCACAGTAGGCATTGGATTAGAAATTCTTTAAAAAACTCTTAGGGTTGGTGCTGTCATATGCAAAAATTCCAAACTGGAAATTCATGTATTGTGTGTGAACATCTTAAGCTGTTCACATAATACCAACAGTGAACTAGCAAATTTTGAATTTGAAATAACTTGCAGTTTCATTATGATAAACAATAATCTCAAAATTAGATGTTGTCTTTACATTTAATGACAAGGAACTCACTTTTTAGAAAATAAAAGTCAAGCCGTCTCCAAACTTTTATTAGATATTGTTTTGTAATGCTTCTGCTGTACAACATGATTACAACAGATGTATAGTTGCACATCAGAAGTGAAGTATGATTTCTATATTGTCTCCAGTGGTGTGCTCTTGATGTTCTCTAGCGTGAATTCAGTCATTTCCCTCTCTAGTCCCTTTCCTGCCTAAATGTAATCGTGGCTTATTGTTTAGAGTCTTTTACCATTACTTACTTTAGTGACCTTGTGTCCTTTTTATCAGACTAGATTGTGTTGGTCTGGTCAGATGATGTAAGATACAAACAATAATTATGGCTATTTTTTCCTTCCCTTTGAGTTGGTGTTGAGCTAGCTTTGTTGAGTGCTTTTCTTTGACATTGGTTGCACAACCTCTGTGTGACAAGATTTTTTTTCTATCTACTTTCAGAGGATATGAGAAACCTATTCCATTGTTGACTGGTATTCAAGTAATGTTTCAGGTTACTCTTTCCATTCTGTCCTTTCTGTTCAGTGACCAAATTCTGGAAAGATCTAATGCAAGCAACAAGACTGCTATTCATCTTGTAGTAAATGTTATTTTTAATAAGTATGAACCTTTTAAACCACATCCTTCTTTTCCCATATATGCAGCACATTCATCTGATGCTGGATGTATTTTTGGAACCAAACTAACCAGAAGAATGATAGGCTATGAATGTGTGGCTGGTGTGTGATTAGTTGCTGACACCAATGGTAATGGAAACTAGGCAAGTGCTAAATCACCTTAGTAAAAGTTTTCCTGTATGAAAGGTTTTAAAACGGGAAAATTTTCATTAAGAGACAAATACATTTAGTCTGCTAATAGAGTATTGCGTGATGTGATGTGAGGGCTATGTAGGTATTTGAAACACATTTTACCATTAAAATTGCTATAATTAATATTGGTATATCATTGTTAATGCTATGCCCATGTAACTCTCTCTTATAATAGTTTGAAAATTTAATTTGCAGTTTATTATTAAAATCATGTTAAAATCTTTAAAACAATAAAATATTAGCTATTCTGTATAGCTAGGTCATGAGTCTCCAACTATTTTATGCCACATTGTTGACTCATTTCTTTTGGTACATGTGCAAGCCACCCAAACATTTGACAAAGCAACTAATTTTCTTTTCAACTAAAGATAGTAGACCAAAAACACTCAATTGAGCTTCCATTAATAATCAGCATTATTACTAAACTAAGAGCGTTTTTTGAAAATCCTCAAATCTACATAAAGTTGCTCAGAAAAAACTTTACTGTTCCCTTATCTTAGGTTAAGGATATAGAGGTATTAGAGATGGCTCAGAGGAGGGCTGCTGGGTATGGTTGGGTTTTCATAGGAGGATACGCTGAGATAACTTGTTCTGTCTTAAAAATGGAAGGTCGGGATTGGTAACACATATTACTAAGGTATTTGATAAATGATACATCAAATGTTTTTTTATATTGAAGAGCTGTGCAAGAGATAAGTTTTAGCAATTAGTTTTTTCTGTTTATTGAGATAGGTTGGGAGTCAGGACATCCTTAATGGACTAAATGTTACCTTGATGTCTCATAATTTATAAGGAAATGTGTTAAGCTTATTTCTGTTGTCTGCCTTTAAAAAGTACATATATCTGTTGGAAAGATTGTTAAGGTGAATATTACTGAAAGGCACACAGGTCTATCATAGTGATGAAATGATTTAATAGTAAATTTTCTGTGTATTACATGATGAGACTATCATAGGTAGTTTATCAATGATCTGTTTAAATACATGA